CCTCTCTTTTCAGAGTGCCATAGTTTTCAGAGAAGAGGTCTTTGATTTCTTTCATTAGGTTGATTCCTAGGTATTTCAGTTTTTTGGATGCTATTGTGGTGGGAATTATTTGTCCAGGCCCCTTCTTAATGGTGTCCCTGTGCTGCCTCCATTCTGCCTGCTAACTCCCCATGTCTGGTAGGAAAAGATGTTGCCTTGCTAATTAAGTGATAGGTTGCTAATTGGTGATAGGTTGATAGGTTGATGGGTGATAGGTTGAAGGAAGACTATAGTATCTCCTATCATAAAAACTCACCATATTGTTTCTCACCATTATTTTCATTGCATTATTTTGTTGAAGTAGATATAGCTTTATTGTTCAAGTGTGAGTGGCTAGTTTTACTTTTTTTTCCTTTTTGTGACTGAACATACATGGCTTTTATCAGTAACAACACTCTTCTTTCCACAGTACTTTGAATATTCTGCTCAACATGAAATCCGACACAACATCCAGAAGGAATTATGTCTTCATGCTGCTCCAGATCTGCTTCAGCTGAAAGCATGTGCCTACAAAGGTCACAAGACTGTTGTCACTGGAGAACAGATATGGAAACTCCAGAAGGTACCTCAGTGCAGTAAATTCACCCATTTATTAAATTATTTTAATTAGCTCTAATGATTAACTGGAAAATATGTAAAATATAGTACATTAATATTATCCATCAGAATTTCTCTGCTTTTATTAACTTTGTTATGTGTGTCTACCCATATGTTAAGAAAATATATCTATTTAGTACACCTAGGAATGAAGTAATCATAAAATTGCTTGGTGGAAGCCTGGTTTATGCAGCTCAAGATCTTTGGTGAATTACCAATAGTAGCTGCTTGTTTTTCATTTTTTAAGATTTCTTGTAATTCTTTTTGCAAAAGTCACATTTTTCTCACCAGAAAATGTACTTCATATAAAGTGATTCTTCCTCCACTTTAGTACTTTTCTATGAATCTAGAATTGAGAGAATACATGACAAATCTTTTGTTTTTAAATATATTTTAAAGCTTAGATGGATCATAGCAATTCTTATGTAGAAACTGTTCTGTATAATACTGAAATACCATAAGACTGGCTTTTATGATTTGAATTTTTTAGTTTGTCACTTATGAATAAATCAATAGAATGCTTCTTGCTTGAATATTTGACTTAGATTTTGCTCTGTTTACTTTTCTTTATTAATATAATAATGCCTTATGTCAATTGAACCGTAAGTGGCATAGATACAGCTTACAACAGAAACCAACTGTATTTTATTTTATTTTTTTGTTTGTTTGTTTGTTTTTTGTTTTTTGGGTCTGACTTTCGTTTTGTTTTTCTCCCTGTCTCTCTCCCCTGGGCTAGGGAACTCAGAAAACTTTTCTTATGGCACCAGGAAATGTTTCCTGGTTTTCCCACCATGGTGGTGGGGTAGGAGGCCTACAGGCCTGTTCAAGCGTATCTCCCTTTTTCTTTCTTTTTCCCATTTGTGGTCACCCTTTTGTCCTGTGTTTCTGTTTTCTGTGATATTTTGCTACTGTGGGGGGAAATTAGCTCAGTCTCTGCTTACTCCAGCTTACTCCTTTCAACCTAAGTCGCATCCGCACTTTCCCCCTTGATGGCTGTTTCTTTTTCAGAATGCTGTCTTTGTCAGGGTCACCATCTTGTCTCATCACATGACTCAACCAACTGTATTTTATCAGTCATAGTTGATCTTAGGAAGACTTAAACTTCAGAATGTTATACATTTAGTATGCAGATTTCCCTTTTCCTTCAATGAGAGCTTAAGTCATTTGCATATTTATCAGTTAATTATGAATCTTGAAACTTAATGTCTTGTGTTTTCTTTTATTCTAGGATCAACTGCTATATAATCCATTCTTAAAATTGTGCCTTTCAGCAAATGGAGAACATCCACGCTTAGTGTCATGCAATCCATCAGATCCACTCCAAAAATGGATTTTTAACCAAAATGATTAAGTGTTCCTTAAAGTTGAAGAGATATTCTTTCTCAAAAAACTGTGACTAGGCATACACTGTAGTTTTTGGAAATTATGCAAAAGCAGCTAATTGTAACTTATTCCAAGTGCATTTTTCTTATTTATATCTTCAAATGTCTATGTAGCACAGCTACAGAAATCCTGTATCTGTTTTAAAGCACAATAACTAGTAATACCAAAGGCCATTTTGAAATGTCTAGGTGTAAAAGAGATGTTTACAGAATGATGACAGTAATTTTCCTAGTAAAGTGATATTTGCGTGTTTTGTACACTTGAGGATATGCATAGTTACATTCATATACTCACTATGTAACTTCCCTTAGCTGTTTTGGGGAAGGAGAAAGAACTGATACTGTATTTTTTTAACATATAGCAATGGATCAATGAAGGTCAAACAGTGGCCTTTGTGCAAAAACCAGGAAATTTTTATAGTTCTAGAATTTGTTATTTATAACTGCAGGTAAAATTATTTTGGTTTTTGTTTTCTTGTCTGTCAAATGTTTCCTTAAATGGGAAGTTGAATAAGAAGAGGATATTTTTTTAACACTTAAATTCCTTGGCAAATTTTTTAATATTTTTAAATCTGAAGCCCACTCTACTTGATGCACTAAATAGCTTTTCTTAAGTAAATATATTCTGTGCTTTTCCAAAGCAATTAAAAAACTTTATAAATTATTTTCTGTTGATAAGGTATCCTTTCCTTCCTACTAGTCTTTTCTTCTTACCAAAATTTACTAATCTTGAATGTTTGTGACATTGACTTTCAAATGCAGAATACTTGACTCACTTAACTAGTAAAATTTGTTATTGACTCATTATAAATTGTCTTTGTAATGAATCTTTTCATGAAAAACTTATTTTTATCTATGTGAAAAAATACAGTAAAAATCCTAATTACTATTACAATTACTTGTTTAAGTTTTCTTCCTCTTTTCGATGAAATCTGCACTTGATAATAGATGGGGGAAATATGAATTCTCTATATGGAATTTCTAAGACCTATTGTTGACAAAGCCATGAGATTTTCTTAAGAAAAACTCAAACATTTGATAGAAATGGCATAAAAATTAGGGAATGGAAAAGGTTCTATGTTAGATATATAGAAAATTTTGTACAAATTACTAAAAATTTTCCCTGAGCATCTGATAAAGTGATTTTTTAAAAATGTGTTTACTAGGGAGATTTGACACTTTATTTTTGGTAATTTTATAAATAGATCCATTATATCCTTATTCCAGAAGTAAAATATGATGGACTTTATATTTTAAATCTGCCAGAGTCTCAAAAATAAAAAGAAAATACTTCTTGACTATTGCCCCCTCTTTTATTGTTTATAACTTTAAACTTTTATTCAAACTCCTGTTTTCTCTGATTGATTACTAAGCCAAATTTATTTAAATTCAACTAATATTTATTTTGTGTCTAATTTTGTGTCAGAATTTTTGGTGAACACAGTTAACACATATTGTCTTTGAGCTGTGTCTCCTGGAGCAGAAAAAAAGAAATGATTTTGACATAGTGCCAGTATGATATTATATTTTATGATGCAAATAACAGTTCACTTATTGGTATTTGATATTTCATTAATAAATAAAATCACACTGTTGTTATAAACTAGTAATAATACATGTACTTAAATATACAGTAGTGCCCACTTGCATGTGTAATTTAAATTTCTCAATTTGTTACAGTAGAAATGAACATTCATGAACAAATGCTGCTCTGAAAGCTTGTTATAACTCCAAAAACAATGTGAAACAATTTTTCAAAAATATTTTATAAACAAACTTAAGTAAAGCCTGTTTTAGAAAAATGAAATCAACCTGAGGGTCCTCCTCATATCATTATTATGTTGTATCATGATCCAGCTCAAATCTGTTTAGATTAAGTTGATTTTATTATAGCTGAGTTAAATGCATGCACAGGGAAAGTCCTTACCTGATACAGGCCTCTCAGACTGTTGCTCCAACTATTAGACCAGTGATTTCATTAAACATTGGCCATTTAGTATGGGTAGTGCCTTTTAAAAGTCTGAATTTGGGGACATTGTTAACAGGGAGTTATTTATAGACCCTGGCTGCCACCCACTGAATGATTTGAATGCACTCAAGTGTGAAATTGAAGATCTCTTGCTCAATTTAAAGCTGCCAAGGGAAATGGTATAGGTGCTACACAGGACCTAGCATGTTGCCTTCCTTCTAGAGGGTCAAGTCTTCCGAACTCTAGGTTGGTAAACCGCACCTGCTAGGGTCAACCAGATGGGCAGGCTCCCTGAGAATGAAGGCTTGACCACACAGATAGCCACAGCAGAAAATAAGCTATATGCTAAAATTACCTATTGCTATAACCAATGATTGTGAATTTTAAATTCATAATTTTTTATAAGAGAATGGTCTTAATCAACAATTTACTGCATAAACGTTCAAAAATTATGTACAAAAAATAGAGAACTGATTTCTGAGAAAAACAGTTGGATTCTTAGACTAGAAAAAAATCAAATCATGAAAAGAAATGTTAAATCACAGGTGGACAAGAACTGTAAAAGGAAAAACAAAAATCAAGAAAGATTCTACATTCAAATTATTTCACATTTTAAAAATAAATTTTATTTTATCCCTTTTCCCCCTCAAGCCCTCTCCCCTCCCCAGGTACAAAAGCTTTGTTTCCATTTTTTCCTTCTATTTTCACTTTTTTTCTTGTCCCTTTCTTCCTTTCTCCTTCCCTCCTCGTTTCCCTTCCCATTTGACCACTTTCTTCCTGTTTCCCAACTTTCATTATACTTTTCAGTCCTTATTTCCACTTTCAGTTTCTCACACCAGAAACAAGGAAGTATTTGAACATGTGTGTTCAATTTATTTTACTTAAGAGAATGGTCTCAAGGTGTATCCATTTAGCTAGAAACTTCACATTTCACTTTGAAGACAATAGAAATAAACATCTTAAGACAGTGCATCTTGAGTGTGGTCTCTGCAGGAAAGGTTTTGCAGAGCTCTCAGATACCTGGTCACACTTGGATAAAAGACCTTGACCTTACAATGGTGTATTTGTGAAAGAATTAATATATATACAAAAGTAGAGGTATGTTCTTTGTGTCCATGCATGTTTTCATTTAAAATATTTTTTTATATGGATCTTTTTAATGGGTTTCTATTTTAACTACTTTTTCAAATCATTAACCATCAATGCAGGTGCTTTGGAGAAGAGATTTCCCCTGAACACATAATCACTTTTATTCTCTAGTTTTCTATGATGTGTAGGAAACGTGTGTTTTGTGTCTTATTGACCCTATTAAGCAATAGGATAATAATTTACAAGACAGCTCCTCTCCTCATGAAAGTCATACACCAGGAATGTGATCATTAATAAAATGTCAGAGTATATTGATGTTTTGGAGAGAAACAGTCTCATGATGTAGTCAATAGCATCAGCTTCCAGTAATTCCACTGGCTATACACAGAAGAAAAAAGAGGGCCTTGTATTTTGGAGGTAAATAATTAAAAGAGCACTTCTGAAACTTTTATTGTGCACACCTTGAGATCTTATTAAAAGCCAGATTCTGAATCATTAACCCTGGGGAGAAGCCTTTGATCTGTGTTTCTATCATGCTGTCACGTGATGTCAAAGCTGCTGGCCCTGGAACTGCATTTTGAGTAGAAAGTATATCCATTTAGTCAATGCCTAAAGTCCTTTGAAATCACAGTGATGACTTCCACCACATTCCACCTCCCTTAATACTTCAGACATAACCAGGAGTTAATGATTTCATCCATTATTGTCATGCTGGTTTGCTGGACACATCTACATCCTTTGTATAACTCGATTGATCACTCCCCACCCTCTGATCACATTCCACTCTGGCAACTTTTATTCCTGTTATTTGATCAGAAAACTCTCTTATATGAAAGTACTGTTCATAGTTCTGCCTGAAATAAACTGAACATCTCCTAAGAATACCTTTTTTTCTGAGAGGACTGTTGTGTTTTGTTTTGTATTCTGTCATTCTTCTTAGGCTTCAAGGCTAGGATTTGGAATACATTTATTCTTTCTTTAAAAAACAGTACCTCAGTTTATTTAAAGCAGTGCCATGCAGATACTTTGTCCTCTACCCCTTTGTGCTGCTATCCCTCACTCATGGATCATTTTGCATACCTCATTCCATCTATCAGTTGAATGTTTTAGTTCCTATTGTGCTTCCTTTCTTTATATTCCTGCTGCTACTGTCATCCTCATGGGCAAATTCATTGCCCATCATCCTGAGCTGTAAGCACTTGCTGCCACACACATGCCTTCGTATCCCTAGTAGCTATTCTCACTTCAACAGCTTGTTCACCTTAACCTATCACCTTCCATTCTAATTAACTACTTCCTCTAGAACATTTCCTACCTGTTTGAGACTTTCAAACCATTGATCTCTAGTCTGTACTTTCTTACAGAATAGTTTTAATATTTCACAATTATGATACTTCTCTTCCACTCCTAATTCCCATAAAATTTCTTCATCACACTTATCCAGAAAACCCTATACCCCAGGTAGAGAAAATATTTGCACTCACTAGCCCTGCACCCAGTTTTCTTCCTATGAAGACATATTTACCATCACTTTTGAACTTGCCATTTACCTCTTTTCCCTCCCTCCCTGTTCTAGCCTCTCCCCCACCCCAGCCTTTTTCTTTGGTCTCCTTTTTCATGGATTCTGTATCTTCCTCTGTCTTAGTTTGCTTTTCATTTTAGAGGAGTACGCCATACCATAATTTTCTGGGAAGGTTTGAGGATGCATGCAGTTTTAAAACTTTTATGTCTAAAATAAATTTATTCTATCCTCACATGTAATAGTATAGATGTCTTTGATGGAAAAAATTTTTTTCTATTGAAGGTGTTACTTTATCTTCTTCTGAATTCAAGTACTCAAAACTCCAATGCATTTTTTATTCTTTTTTTTCTTAATTCTTTTTTTTCCCTTAAATTCTTTTATTGGTACATTTTAGGTATACAATACATTTACATTTCTCATTGGGAACTTGTAGCTTTACATGGCATATCTTGGTTCTTATTTTTTCCCCATTCCCTGGCCACCCTTCCCTATTTATAAAGACTTTGTTTCCTTTTTTTCCATTTCTCATAATTTTTACTTTCCCTTCTTTCATTTCCCCTACCCCTCCAACTTCCCCTACCCCTTTGGACCTTTTCTTCCTATTTCACATTATCAATTATTCATTTTAATTATCAGTACATTTTAGGTATACAATATAATGACATTCATCATTGGAAATTTGCACCTTTACGTAATCTCTCTTGGTTCTTATTTTTCCCTCTTC